CTTTACCTGTTTCTAATTAGCTTGTATTTTTTTTTTTAAAGAGGTTTTTGTGAGTTTTGAGAGCCTTTTTGTATTTTGGATATTAGTCCTTTGTCAGATGTGTGGTTTGCAAATATTTTCTCCCGCTCTTCAGCCTATCTTTTCATCCTCTTAAAAAATTTTCACAGAGAAAATTTAAAAATTTTTACAAGGTCCAATTTATCATTTTTCCCTTTTATGGACTGTGCTTTTGGTGTCAAGTCTAAGAACTATTTGGGAAGCCTCACATCTTGTAGATGTTTTTTCCTAAAAGTTTTAGTTTTTTCATGTTTTATATTTAATTCTGTGATCCAGAATTTTGTATCCAAGGTTAATTTTGTATAAAGCAAGGATTTTATCTTTGCTTATAAATGTCCTTTTGTTCTAGTATCATTTATTGAAAAGACTGTCTTTTCTCCACTGAATCTGTACCTTTGTCAAAAATCAATTGCGCGTATTTGTGGGAGTCTAGATTCTCTGTTCTGTTTCACTGATCTGTGAATCTAACCCTTCATTGATATTACACAGTTTTGATAACAGTAGTTATATAATGTCATAATCTGATAGACTGATGCCTCCTATTTTATCATTCTTTTTCAAAACTGGCTTAGTTATTCTAGTTCCTTTACATTTATATATGAATTTTAGAATTATCTATATGCTAAAACATTTTGCTGGGATTTTTATTAGAATTGTGCTAAACCTCTATATCAATCTAAAAAGTGACATCCTCAACTTACATTATGTTGAATCTTCCTATACATGAACCTGGTATGTCTTTCATATATTCAGGCTTTCTTTGACTCTTCCATTGGCATTGCGTAGTTCCCAGCATACAAGCTGTCAGCATAACAAGTTTTATTACATTTACATTGAAATATTTCATTTTTTAGCAACTGTAACCACTTATAGTTTGGCATTTTTAAATTTCAGTGTCCATGTGTTCACTGATAATAGAAACATAATTCATTTTTGTAAATTTATCTCATATCCTGCAACCTTGCTAAATTTACTTATTAACCTGAGGAGTTTTCTAAAATAGATTACAGGAGGTTTTCTATGTAGATAATCATATCTATAGAGATAATTACATCATCTACAAATAAGAACAGTTTTATTTCTCCTTTTCTATGTGTCTTTTATTTCCTTTTCTCCTGTAGCACACTGGCTAGAACTTCTATCACTGTGTTGAGTAGTAGTGGTGAGAGTGCATATCCTTGACTTTTTCCTGATCTCGGGGGAAAAACATCCAGTTTCTCAACACTAAGTATCAATTCAGTGGTAGTTTTATAAATGTCCTTTATCAAGTTGAGGCAATGCACTCCTAGTCCTTTTTTCTAGGAGTTCTCATCACAGATAAGTACCAAATTTATTAAACATATATGATCCTCTGATTTTTCTCCTTTAGCCTTTTCTTATGATACATTAAGTTTAGTTGCTCAGTCATGTCCAACTCTCTGCGACCCCATGAATCGCAGCATGCCAGGCCTCCCTGTCCATCACCAACTCCCAGAGTTTACTCAAACTAGATGCCATGATCTTAGTTTTCTGAATGTTGAGCTTTAAGCCAACTTTTTCACTCTCCTCTTTCACTTTCATCAAGAGGCTTTTTAGTTCTTCTTCACTTTCTGCCATAAGGGTGGTGTCATTTGCATATCTGAGTTACATTAACTGATTTCCAAATATTGAACCATCCTCGCATTCACGGTATAAACTTCACTTTGTCATTGTGTATACTTCCTTTTGCATGCATGCTCAGTTGCTCTGCCATGTCTGATTCTTTACGAGTCCATGGACTATAGCCCACCAAGCTCCTCCTTCCATGGGATTCTCCAGGCAAGAATACTGGAGTGGGCTGCCATTTCCATCTCCCGGGGATTTTCTTGATTCAGGGATCAAATCTGCATCTCCTGCACTGGCAGGCGGATTCTTTACCACTGAGGCACCTCATAAGCCCCCAAATGCTTCTTTTCCATGTTGCTAGGTTTACCTATTTATTAATGCTCTGTTAAGGATTTTCTTGGTTTATTTTCATAAATCGTATTATCTACAGAATTGAGAATGCTAGTTTTTTAATAGCATTTTCCTGCTGTCAGAACTTCTCCGTGAGACCTTCCCTTCCTCCAACCTAAATGTTCTTTTCTCAGGACCAGGGATTCCATGAGATAGCAAGAAAAGTCTGTGCAGGCCCTGGTACACTGGGGTCCATCAGTCAGTACTGAACTCCTGAGATCCCTCTTCTACAGACACTGATGGCTACTCCCTCACCCTTCTTAAGCTGGAATCTTCACAACAGTTGGTAGAGTCTATAGATCAATTTGAAAAGGCTGCATCATTGGATTTGGGTACAAGAAGGCACTTAATCTTCAATTAAGTTGCCCCAAAGTCTGCTAAGTTTGAATGTAGGGGTTTTACAGTGATTTCATGGCAAATAGAAGGGGGAAAAGTGGAAACGGTGACAGGTTTTACTTTCTTGGACTCCAAAATCACTGTGGACAGTGAATGCAGCTATTAAATTAAATACGCTTGTAGTTTGGAAGGCAAGCTATGAAAAACTTAGACACTATATTTAAAAGCAGAGACATTACTTAGCCAACAGAAGTTCATATAGTCAAAGCCATGACTTTTCCAGTAGTCATGTACGGATGTGAGAGGTGGACTAGAGAGAAGGCTGAGTGATGAAGAATTGATGCTTTTGCATTGTGGTGCTGGAGAAGACTCTTGAGAGTCCCTTGGACAGCAAGATCCAACCAGTTAATCCTAAAGGAAATCAACCATGAATATTCATTGGAAGGACTGATGCTGAAACTAAAGCTCTAATACTTTGGCCACCTGATGGGAAGAGCCAACTCACTGGAAAAGACCCTCATGCTGGGAAAGATTGAAAGCAAAATGAGAAAGGGGGTGGCAGAGGATGAGATGGTTACATAGCATCACTGACTCAATGGACATGAAATTTGAGAAAACTCCAGGTGGTAATGGAGGACAGAGGAGCCTGGTGTGCTGCAGGCTATGGGCTCACAAACAGTAGGACAAAACTCTGAATAACAGTGAACCTGTGCCCTGCTTGACTAAGTCAGTATGTTCAAAAAGATCTAGATGTGCAGAAAAAGTCTTTGACAAAATTCAACATCCATTTATGATTTAAACTCTCCAGAAAACAGGAATAGAAGGAACATACCTCAACATAATAAAAACTATATATGACAAACCCACAGCAAGCATTACCCTCAATGGTGAAAAACTGAAAGCATTTCCCCTAAAATCAGGAACAAGACAAGGGTGCCCACTCTCACCACTACTATTCAACATAGTTTTGGAAGT